GCTCTACCCCGACGTATCTTGCCCCTATGAGCTTGGCGACTGAGAAGTGATGGCCTACAACCTAAGAGCGATGGCCTCCACCGAGACAGGGCCCACAATCTCTTTAGAAAGACTAGACGAGCGCTGTTCTTCAGAGCGTGCTGGGCTGACAGCACATTCCACAGACACTTGCCGAGCGTGCTCAGGCGCGCTCTGCAATGTGAAGGGAGCGCGCTGCGGGCGCGCTCGGGAGGCGCGCGGAGGCACACTCTGCAATGTGCTGCCGCACTCCGGGCGCGCTCTGCAAGTGTCTGTGGAATGTGCTGGCAGCGCACTCTGAAGAACAGTGTTCTAGTCTAGTCTAGTTTGGTCAACGCTCTTCTTTTCGGGCGCGCTCAGCCGCGCTCTGCAATGTGCTGGCGCGCTCCGGGCACGCTCGGGCACTCTCGGAGCACGTGCGTTCCACTGCGGGCTCAAAGTGAACCAGACGGGAGTGATTTAATTTGGTGTGGCCGAATGCCTCGGATGGGCTAGGCTGGACTGAAAAAAGCGGAATCCAGCAGCTCAGCAGACACAAGGGCTCAGGGTATCAAGACTCTTTTGTTTGTTCAATACGGTCGCTCCCCTCCATCCTCCATCCATGCGCCTCCCGTCTCGCTCCCCTCCATCTTCCCTTGCCCCTCCCATCTCGCTCCCCTCCATCTTCCCTCCCCAGCCCTTCATCTCCCCTCCCTAGCCATCCCCAACCATGCGCTTCCCGTCTCGCTCACCTCCATCTTCCCATGCGCCTCCTGTCTCCCATGCACCTCCCGTCTCGCTCCCCTCCATCTTCCCTCCCCACCCCGTCCCCACCATGCACCTCCCGTCTCGCTCGCCTCCATCTTCCCTCCCCAGCCCCGTCCCCACCCATGCGCCTCCTCCATCTTCCCTCCCCGTCCTTCCCCGCCCATGCGCCTCCCGTCTCGCTCCCCTCCATCTTCGCTTGCGCCTCGCGTCTCGCTCCCTTCATCTTCCCTCCCCAGCCCCGTCCCTATCATTCCCTATTGGATGTGGCCACTCAGCCCCGACCAGTTTCTCCATCTCGTTTCGCGGTTTCTTTCAATTTTCTTCAGTTCGGTCTGTGGAAAAGCTCCAAACGAACGCTGGATAGGGCAATATAGCGCAGGTCTCAGGGATAGGCTCAGCTTCTCTTGCTGATGGCATGTCCGTTCACCGCAACACTACATATGTTTGTTTGTTTAGATGCCATCCGTTAGTCGATGAGGTCGGCAGCTCAACATCTAAAACCAATCAAAAAGAACAAGAAAGCATCAAAATCAATGCAAAACGAAAAAATCAATCAACAATTATTAAAACGGATGAAAATCAATGAACATCAATCGGAAACAAGCAAGAACGACAAAAACAGGAAAAAACATTCAAAATGAACAAAAAGCTCGAAAAGGTTTCAGAATCAACAAAAAACATGAAAAATCAACCGAGAATCCACACACATAACTATATATATATATAACGAAACGGAAACTTGACAAAAAGTGCAAAAAAGCAGAAGAAAAGCAACGGAAAAACGAAGGAACAGTTGAGGAACAGTCGGGGAAAAGTCAAGGCGCTACTTTTCCGCTACTGTTCCTCTACTTTCCCTTTGCTTGTCCTCTGCGTAAATTTTCCTTTTGGTTTTGTCTATTTGTGGACTTTACGTTGATTTTTCATGTTTTTGTTGATTCTGTCAGATTTTGATTGTTTTTACATGTTTTTGTTGTTTTTCATTGTTTTCGATTGATTTCCAACAGTTTTAACAAACTTCGATTGATTTTTCATTCTTTTCCTGGATGTTGATCGATTTTTGTTGTTTTTGATAGATTCAAATTGTTTTGAACATGACAGAGGTAGGTGTGGCTGGGACAGAGTGTGGAGGGTGGTGGTTTGAATCAATTCCTATCTAGTCCCATTCTGCCAGCATGAGCAGGGCCAAAACCTTGCCCGGAGTGAAGTTAGTAGCCGGAGCCCACAGAGTTCAACTACTATGTTCAACAACGCTGGTGTATGTATAGTCATCCTGGAGTAGGTCGAATGGAAAATCAACGACCAATGGATAGCTGATCATGTTTTTGGATTGGTTCATGTTCTATCTACTCGAGGATGTTTGTAGACATATGTAGACTATCAATTGATCAACAACGTCTCTGGAGGGCCTGGAGATGTAAAGCCAGGTTAGTGATCCTTTTGTTGGGGGATATTGCAAGACCCGAACAAATGGGTACAATTACAGGAAAGCGAGAGAGGAGAGGCTGCTTTGCAACATGTCAATCTCATGATGGATGGCTTCTCGCAATCATATTTCCATATGTCTGTTGGTGGTCTCACGCAGGGTGGCTTTTGTACCAGACTTGAGGACCCAGACAGTTTTTGGAGCAACTTTAACGTTTTGGGTTCTGAACTCTTTCCTTCGGAGATGCACTGAAGAAGACAATGCAAACCACGTGGTTTGGGGCCGAAGGTGTGCGGGTCGACCGGCTTGGCGGCAACAGTCATGCAGGGTATCCTTTCAGGTGAAAACCCCTGACTTGAAGGCATTCAGATCACCGAGCCCAAGTTTGACGATACCCACAAAACAGGAGCCGGCTTCCCCAAAACACAAACGCCAGCGGCAACCCGGAGACCTTCGCAGAACTTTGCGGCAGGCATTTTTCACTCACCACACACCCTCCCTTTTTCCTTCATCCATCCATCCATCCATCCCAGACAGACAGACAGACGGACGGACGGACAGACAGACAGACAGACATACATACTCACATACTCACATACTCTGACGCCTATACGGTTCTAAGAGCTCGTGGTTTTCTGGGCGACTTCATTCACCTTCCCCTCCATGTGAAAGGCGCAGCTGCCTTTGACTCGTGCGCCTCATGGCTCGCGGCTTTCATGAATCCAGAAAATCGCACATTTCACTAGCCTGGATTCAGTACGGTTTCCGTGCCAGTGGGCGGCTTTAATCCTTCTGTGGTACACTTGCCAGGGGAAAGGCTGCAATCAAGCTACTCCCTCTTCAGTTTCCTCCCTCACGCGGCTTCCCTGCCACCAGTGGCCTTCTGTGGCACACTTCCCAGATAAAAGGCTGCAGTCAAATCAGTTTCCTCCCTCATAGGGCTTCCCTGCCACCAGTGGGTGGCTTTAGTCCTTCTGTGGTACACTTCCCAGGGGAAAGGCTGAAATCAAGCCACTTCCTTTTCAATTTCCTCGCTCGTACGGTTTCCGTGCCACCAGTGGGCGGCTTTAATCCTTCTGCGGTACACTCCCCACAGGAAAGGCTGCAATCAAGCTACTCCCTCTTCAGTTTCCTCCCTCACACGGCTTCCCTGCCACCAGTGGGTGGCTTTAATCTTTCTGTGGTACACTTCCCAGGGGAAACGCTTCCATTTCATTGGCCCAGGGTGAAGGCTGCAATCAAACCAGGTCCTTTTCAGTTTTGGTCCTCATATACGCTTCCTTGCCACTTCTCGATGGGAAAATGAGTTTCAACTTGGGCACGCTGCCTGGCCAAAAAGGCGAAGTCCAAGTACATCCTCCTCCCTCGCGGCTTCCCTGCAAGCAATTGCCCGGAAAAGGAGCTTTAAATTCTTCTGTGGCACATGGGCGAAAAGTCAAACTAAGTCACGGTACTTCTTCTCCAGTTTCCTCCTCCCATGGCACCCCTGCCACCAGTTCACAGGGCGCAGGGTTGTAATAAGGGTCTCTTGCTGGCCTTTCCTGCCCTGGCACACTGCCTGACAGGCGCAAGACATTCTGTCTCCAGCTCCCTTTCCTTTGTGGTTTCTTACTCACAGTGGCCGGGTCAATATAGGAAAAAAGCAAAATCAACACGTACTGCCTTCCAAGTACCGCCTTGGCGGTCTTGGCGCGCAAAGTTGCATTGTCGCCTTCGCTCTCATGCTCTGTTCCCCACTCACAATGTGGGGCAACGGATCATGTGGGAGCAATGGTGCAGCACGCAGTGCTCTGCGCACACTTCTCCTGAAGAGGTTGACTCCTCAAATTGTCTGCTCGGAGAGCACCTCATCCAGGTGCAATCCGGAAGGTGAAGTGGCACTGGCGACCAAGCACCTCCAAGATCACAAGTTCAGAACCAAAGACAGTACCCAGATCATTGACCGTTCCTGGCGCTTCCTCAAAGAAAGGATCCATTTTTTCTCAACGGTGCCGGGTCAGGAGTGGTGAATCCGCAGGACTCAGTATGAGTATACTGGCGCAGGGAGTGGCACAGGAACTCTGGTCTGTCGATTGCGTCTGACACTTTGTGTTTGTCACTTTGCTAACTAAATGGGATGTGTGTGTGTGCGCGTTAAAAGCAATCAAAAGTTTGCGCCCAGAGAATTCCTGCCAATGCTCATCCCCTCCGTAGATAGTCCTTGCAATATTATCATCTGGAAATTGCATTTGTATACGCGCTGCATCCTCTCGTGGAACAGTTTTCTCTCTGGCGCGCAACAGGATTGCACCACAACCTTCCACACCGGTAGGCCTGGGGGAGATACTTCCATACATACATACACACACAGAGACAGACAGACATACATACATCCAGACCTATGTACATACATACGTACGTACATACAGACACACACACACATACATACATACATACATACATACATACATACATACATACATACATACACACATACACACATACATACAGACACACACACACACACCGAAAGCTACAACCAACATACTGAAATCTTTCTAGCATGTGGCTGCGCTGGGAGTTTGTTCAAAGCCAAGTGACTTGGGTGTTTCCAAAATCGACACCACGGACATAAAGGACTGTCAATGTTTGGGCTCCTGCAGAGTCAAAGATTTGGAGTTTGTCACACTTTGTTTCAACTTACGGATTTGTAGGGACATGTAGGAAGACATATTGTAGGCATGTGCTCATTGTTCAAACGAACTTTCTTTCACGGATGGAAGACTGACTAGACGTCCGGACGTCAACATGTCCTGGTCGCAGTCGCAGTGAGGACCACTACATCGGCACTTTTGCTGGAATGAATGGTCCCCCGTGGCTGGGTCGGATGTGAACCTGGGGGCGGGGATGGGGTGGGTCATGAAAATCAAAAGACAGACAAAACCATCATGGGAACGCCCTCCGTGAACTGAGATCTCCCAAACTATTTGCCTTTGCGCCCGTACCTGTGAGCCCGTGCTTCCCTGTGCGTGCTTTGTACACGAGAAAATCAACATGTTTGCTTCAGTTACTGTGTTCGTTTGTGGTTTATGATTCATTGAGTCACCAAAACATTCATGTCGAGGGATCAACCAAACCCCAGCCAAACATTGCTTAAATCTACTCGCAGAGGAACTACAACTAGTTGACCCTCTCTCTCTCTCTGTGCTGCTGCTGCTGCTGCTGCTGCTGCTGGTCCTCCCCCTCCTCGTTTGTTGGCTTCAAGACGGTGGAACCCTAGAGGACGGTGATTTTTTTGCTCGCCATTGAGGCCCTGTTGCTTCTTGGTCAGGTGGTGGATTCCACTGGTGACCTGACCGACATGGCCCATCTGCCCCAAGGTGCTACAGACGCGCATACGCCACAAGCGGATCGATCGCTTTGCCAGCACCAGTTCCTTCTGATGCCGTTGACGGTTTGATCGGTGGAAGATGTATACATAGAACTTCAAAACTTGGGACTCAGTTCCTACAGACTCCAAGTCTGAAACAAACCCTTTTCAGATATGTTCAGTGGGATTGCGAGGATCTCCAGATGCATTTTTCGATCAATGCATGTCCCATACGCGACGCTGAACACACACGAACCCCCTTACCGGTGCAGTTTCACCTTTGGACCCGGGAGCGGTTAAGCCGCGTGGCCCGAGTTCTGGTCCAAAAAGGAGTGGCCGCGTGGCCCGAGTCGAGACTTCATTTCTTTTGGGACCTGGGGACAGCGGACACCGAAGATTGAGCTTGGGTCAGAGGTTGGTCAAAGGCTCATGCACACCAATTGTTCCCACATCGTCCCGAAAATCATAGTAGCCCCCATTTGGGACTGTGGCCGGTTGATTTGAGGTGCCCAGACATGGACCACAAAAGCTCCCCAGTGTGTGAGGGAGTCAAACTGGTCAAGAATCTGTACATGAGATTCATGTTATTCTGCTGGGGATTCAAACATGCAGCTCTGATGGCAGTTGTCCCACATGTTTTCCTTGGGGTTATATGATTTGGTTGTGCCGAGGTCTTCAACACAGCTTGCAAGCACCTGACATTTGCACGTACCTTCATGTGTAGACTTTTCACAACACGAGACTAGACCTGACGCTGGCCAAAGCCGGATGTCCCGCAGTCAGAATGAGATCAAACGCCCGGCGGGCCTCCGCCATCGGGGCCCAAGAGAATGGCTGGACACTGAGAGGGAAGGCTTTTGAAGCTACTGGAGTAACAAAGGGCATCGCTACGAACGGAGCGATTGGACGCTACGCACGTAGCTCCTGGAACCGCTACTAGGAACAAGGGCATCGCTACTAGTAACTCAGTTGGGCCAGCCTCTGTACATTTGTGGTGATGCTCCGAGTAGATCCAGCCGCATGTTGAAATCTGAATGTTCAACCCTTCCCACCCCTTTGATTCACTAGAAACAGCTGAGGCAGCTGAGTTGAAGTGGGGTGGCTCAGCCATTCCAGACGAAGACGCCTGCAAGTCGGAAGTCGAATCATCGCATCGACCGCTTGGTCTGCGCGGAACCCGCGCGGAACGTCCCCCCGACCACAGTCCGACCAAGCTACCGCTTACGGACAGAAGTGCCCAAGAACGGAGCAGCACGGAGTGTGACTCGTGACCAAAGTGTTGAACCAAGACGTGCCGTCTCATCAGGTTTCTTCATTGAGCACGGAGGATCACGCATAGGGCTCGAGTGTCAGGAAAACTCCAAACACTGACATTAGTAAGATGAGCGTTAGTAAGGTGCAGGGTTCGATGATGTTCCATACGATTTGATGTTCCATTGGTCCATGACTGTTCCAATTACAGTCCCTGAAACAATCATGGAAGTGGAACAGTTTTGCCCCTGGAAGGCCACAGGTTCCAAACAGGTTTCTTACAGCTTCCATGCTTGGAGGGGTTGGAGAGGTTGGAGGCCTTCGCAGGCCTTCGCGGCCATTGCTACAGTCCAACTTTCAGACCTCAACCACATGCCATCCAAGTACTTTAGACAGGCAAAGCATGGCAAAGCACTTGAGTTCTCTTTCTTTCTTTGTTCACGTCCGCCTGGCGCCCAGCGAACTCTCCCAGGACCTGGGATGGCTCCCTGGATGAGGAGAAGGGGCGACGTGCCGGGGGCACCTGGGAGTCACTCGAGTCGTTGGGTGAGTCGTCGGGTGAGTCGCCTGGCAAAGCGAACAGAAACAGCGTTGGAGAGTCGTTGGTTTTGGTCATATATATGTTGTTGATGAAGAACACACGCGGTCAAACAAAGTTCATATTGTGGCTGACTGGTGGCTCAAATGAATGGTTGTGTCATATGTTGTTTACAGTTTTTGGATGACTTGGATCTGTATCACAGCTGTTTTCGTTGAGCTGGGTGTCCAAGGTTGTGATGCATTGCAAATCAAACAACTGCACGGCTCAAATTTCTCTTCGAGCTAGTAACGCTAGTAAGATGCGAGGAAAAGACTCGGGAAGAGAAAGACTTGGGGAAAGTGTGCTATACAATGGACGCCGCCCTACGCACGGTTCAGGAAAGCTATCCCATCACAAAAAATATCATAAACGTTATTAATAAATAGCAAAGATCCTTTGTTTCTTGGTGGTCGTGCTGAGATAACTAAATGACATACAATAGAATGAGATAATTCAAACCAATATATATTCTATATCAAAATCTCTGAGCTCCTAAAATATTTATATAGTTCAGAAAGACAAAGAAGATCAAGCCGTCCGCTAAGAAGACGACGCGTCCCAGTAGCAGGTTAGCAGGTGAGGTAATCATCTGGACTGGTAGATACAGTTGAGGAAAACCAAAAAAGAGGCCCCTGAACTTGAGAACAACAGTATGTCAAATAATATCCAACATAAGGCTTTACACAAGGGAGAATCCCTTTACAAGCTACTTCGAGTCCTCTGTAGACTTGAGGGCTTTTGTTGGGTTCGCTTAGTAGGGATGGACCAACTTGGGCGATTGATTGGACTGAGAGAATCAATCCATGAGACACGGTCGAGATTCAGATTCGGGGTCCCGAGTGGGCAAACGAACGAGTAAGACATGTGGATTTGGGTCTGTCCCCTACATGGAATCCATATGTCTTAGGGGATTTGTCCTCCAAAAAGGGCAATCGTCTAAAGCTCCTGCGAAATGGACACGATTGTCCGGTCACGCGTTGCTGGGAAGATCACGGTGCCACTGTGGGGAAAAAGAACTATAGTAACTATTTTGGGTTTCACTTAGCATCGGCCTCAGACTGGAAAAAAGAAGAGAATACGGCTCACCACCGAGAAGGATCAGCTACTACTTCTACCTCCTACACCACATTGCTGCTTTTGCTACGTGTTATTTTCGCGGACCGAGGCCCTTCTTGGAGCTCACTTGCTGCCCAACAGGCCACAGTTGATGTGTTTTTGGGCAGTGGTGAGATGTGGCCCCTTACGGTGAGAGAAATTGGATATATATATATATATTATGTATATATACGTATATATAATTATCATGGTGTGTCATGTCCAAGCTCAATTGTTGAGAAGATCTCACGTAATTTTCATGAAGCATACATGCAAGGCAGCGTCCACCATGCATGAATACTGAACCCACCCTGCTTGAAAACAAAAGCGTCCACCCTTTGAATTCATGATTTGCTGAAGCTGTGTCAGCCGATGCCTGAGATGAAGTTATGCACGAATTCATGACTCTCATGACCCTTTTCCACTCCACTTGAGACCAGCACACTTTCTACATCCTGCAGTAGCAGAGAATCTTCGGGCATCATCGAGCATCGTCTTGGTGCGCCCAGGTACAATAAGGTTTGCACCATGGGCCCAGGGCAGGCCCTAATGTGGGGCATTTCGGCAAAGCCCATCAACACCCTGCAGTTTGGTTCAGACCTCAGTCCCAGTGTGGCCATGTGGGGCCATCGCGCCACCTGCCACTGTGGTCCTTGGTTGGCAGTTCTTGGCACTTCGTTCAGACGGGTGACTTGGGTGGCCAGAAAAAGGCGGACCGCCACATGTGTTCTTCTTTGGGCCAGACTGGCCGCTTCATGCCGTTTCTGCTTCCTTTGACACCGTCCTCACCGTCCTCTTCGTCCACCTTCGTCCACCTTCGTCGACTCGTGAGCTGTGCGGAGCTGAGGTCCCGATTGTCCGGAAGATTCCCGGCATCGCGTCTTGATCACCAAGACCACGCCACCCGTCCTCTTGCTGGAGACACCGGTGTTTGGTTTGTACATGTTTGTACCACGTGGAAACCCTCACCCAAATGGAAGTTGGACACTTCTTCGCACAGGAACACATGTGTTGTTGCCTATACTGCCAGTGCTTGCGCGGGTGGTTCTTGATCCCGTATTTCTCCCGTGTTTTTAACATGGTGTTTGTTGGGAAACAATGGGCAAACCTAGATTCCTCGTCCATTGTCAACACAAGTTTCAATTGCCCAAAGTACGGAGGAGCTCAATGCCGTCGCGACCTTCAATATGTCTTTCTGGCATCTTTGTCATTCTTTGTTTGGCTGGAGTTAGTGGCCCTCGGAACATGGTTTGGTAATTGAGGGGGTTCACGTGAAGACTAGGTCCTAATTGGATCTAATTCGTGGTTTTGGGGGAGTGACTCAGGGCGGCTGGGCGCTTGGTTTGACTCGCGCGAGCACGGTGTGACTCGCGCGAGTGCGGTGTTTTGACGTTTTTGAAGGGATCCTTTTGACACAAAGTGAGCACGACTCTTTATCAAGGAAATCCTGACTCGGTTGACCCTACAATCTCAGGAGTTTTCACAGGGCTGTGTTGCAAAGGTCCTTCTTGAGTCCTTCTGTACCTTGCCAAGCGAATCGCTCTCTCAACAAAAGTGGGAGCGGAAGCAGTAAAAGTAATGAATACATTCTATATAGAATATTTTAATATATTATATGTTCAATTATATGATGTATGAAGAGGATCAAGGCTTAACAATGACACTTGATAGACATGATACTGTAGACTATTGTAGACCATAAGACTATATGCATGTATATTAATGTAGAATATCGTGGAATTATATATATATATAGACATTTGGATTTTGTTTCTGCTGCATGCTATATAAAGTGCTTCATCTACTCCGCTTCCCCCGTCTTGCCGGTCATTGGTCATCTCACGGTTCTCTGTGCGTTACGCATTCCAATAGGGCCCCCCACATCCATAAACACTTCCTAACAACAATAGGAACACCTCCTGTGGGGGAGCCGCTGTCCACCCGCCACACCTCCATGTCGTTCCCCGGATCACAGAATGCATCGACCGAACGAAGAACGTGCGTTCGTCTTAAGTTCGAGTCTTCACCGAGAAGCAACTTATGCCAGGATGGATGCAGACACCTCCCAAGATATCTTGTATGGGATGGATGCGGTGTGTAGCTCAGGTGGATGGTGGAAGTAGAGGGAGCAGCGCCTGGGACCAGCATGGAGACTAGCTGAGAAGGTGTCGATCTGGTGAGTTGTGATTTTGGTCCAGTTGCTAACTGCCTATATAGTTATATATTAGATGCTGTTATTAGTAGATGTTCTTAGTTACCAATTACCCATCCCACACGGTCAAAGATGGGGAATTTGGATTGGACTTTCCGGACCTTCTCGAAAGCATCGTCCAATCGCACTCGACTCCGAGGTCCTACAGCTCTTGAAAAGTCCGAAGCCAGGGCCCTCATGCGGTGCGTCCGAAGCGTTGCCGCCTGGGATGCGCTGGCCTGTGCGCATCCGATGATTTCAGTCACAGCAGATCCCAACAAATGCCAGCGTGGTCAACTTTGGGAAGTCTCTCACTTGCTTCTCCAGAAAAAAGAAGCAACATGCAGTGCCACACTGCCACACTGCGTGGTGTAAACCAGCAGACCGGGGGCCAATGGACCGCAAAACCGCCCGGTTCCCGCGGTTCCACTGGTTCACGCGTGTCTTCAGGACGGTGAACAAGCCCTTGGCCTATGTCATTCAAGGATCTGGTCCACACTTCTGTCCAGGCGCATCGGGGTTCCTGCCCGCCTTGCACATCGCTGGAGAAGATGTCGAATGATGATCCATCAGATGTCAAGGAGATCAGATGAACGAAAATAGCTCCTTTTTCGGGGAGGGATGCACGTGATTTTGGACATTTTAGGGGCAACAGTTCTGTTCTTGACTTTCGCTAGGGTGAGAAAAAGGCGGATCTCCGGGCCTTTCACAAAGATCACCAAAGCCTCGGTGTTCAATGGCTGATCCCCAGCCTTTTGGCCGTCGAGGTGGAAATCCCAACCCGAAGCTGTACCCGGGACACATCGCATTGACGGTGAACCAGCTGCTGGGCTGCGAGTGGACATGCGTTGCCCATGGGCTTCATTGACAGCGGATAAATCTATAGGTGACACGGTGACATGCACCGGAGGTCAACAGAAGAAAACCGTTGTGAGCTCTGAAAGCAAGGGAGCTTTTTGAACTCACCTACAACATCCTGTCTTGAATTACGTACTCCATCACAGATTGGAATTCAGTTGGATGCATCCTCAAGCCAACCTGGTCTTTTGGTCCACAAAAGCTATGGGTAATGACACAACATGGTGCTTTTTTGGGATCAGCTGTCACTTGTGTCGTTTTCCATCCGCTTGGTCCTCCAAGGTATGCTGGCTACTTACCCTTCATTCGATGTCGAGAGTCGGGCGCTCAGCCCAGCACAACGCGGGCGATGTTGATGTCGATTTCCACGGTGAAACGTCAATCACACTGGAGCCACGAAAGTGGCGTAGATCAGGACCGTCCAGCCAGCGAAAAAGAACATGGCATACATCATCATAAATCAGGACCTTGCTTGCAAGTTTTAAGAACCAATTTTTTTGGGGGAAACGCAGCTTGATTCATGCTTCAGACCTGGGATGTTTTACTCTCCATCGCACCACCACCAAATGTTTTGGTTCACTCTTGCTCTGACCTCGCTTTTCCTTACAATGCAAACAATGGCCACAGAGTCAAAAAGAACATGAACAACACTATATATGCACACATACATAATATATATATATATAATGCTTAACACAGTGATACAAGTTTCTCGAACACCTGGTCGCCCGGTTTGAGCGCTTTACGGTGACGTGACCCTTCGATCCGCACCGCCGCGACAGGATCGCGCTCCCGGGGATTTGTGCCTTGCACGGTGTGGTGCTCAGAGCTGTGCCGTTGAGTCTCAAAGAGGTTGAGTCAAAGAGCTGGGGATTTGGGTCACCACATTCAGAGTGATGATTGATCCATTGATCTCCATTGATCTGTTCATTTCGGGTGGTCCCACTGCCACCTTGGGATCGACCCTGCAGTCGTTAGGTGACTTTGTTCGTGAACTTGGGCTGTTTTCTTGGTTGTGGCAGTGTGTTCCCTTACCAATTATACCCATTTATTTTCAATTAGTCTTGTGAAGCACACCATGTTCCCATTTTCTGTCACGTTCAATTCGTCCATGAACTCCGAACCTATTGTTGAATAGCATGGGAGCGCGTGAGGGTGACATGACGAAGAACGCTGCAAAGATGCAGAGTCTTGCCAGGAATGTTCACCTATGATACAGATCTTTTTTCGGACAAGTGGAAAGTGACACAGAGTTCCACCCAAAAGTGACACTTGTATTCTCGAGAGTTGAACCATGTCAGGGGGCTGCTGCGATCTGCAGAGCCAAAGAAATACCGGTACATCTCCTCACCGCCCCTGTTTACTCCCACCCCTGGGTTCTGGAGGCTTCGGCTTGGACTCGACTCCGGACTCACCCGAAGCTGAGGCTCTATGGTGGGAGGCGGAGTCGCCTACTCTCTGAACAACCCCGTTCGATTCGCGGACAGCAAGGTCCGGGCGCCCGACCTGGCGGCGTATTTTCACGTCCGGTGACTTCTTTGTGAAACGGAGGGTTCCGTTTGGAATTCTGCTTGGGGGATTATGCCAAACTGGAATCTTTCCCTTGGACACGGCCTTCCAAGTGCGTGTCCAATGCCACAAGCCGCTTTGATTCAGCTAGAAGAGAAGCATTTCTTTTATTTTCTTTTAAATTAAAGCTGTTTCAGGTGTTAGTAATTAGTCACAGTACCCTCTCCAGAAAAGCATAACAATCGTATAGGCCACATGGGAAGAACACTATGTTCTCCATTTGTGAGTTGCTTTGTTAATTTGGGTGAGGATATTTCAGTGCACATTCTGTATATTTATTTACAGTTTTTTGACCTGTAATGCAAAGGATGTACTGTGTGCAATGCTTCGCGTCCACCGCAGGCCTCTGCATGCTTCGGCAACTTGAGCATCCGCCTCAGATGCGCCTACGCAACCAAGCAAGACAAAGCCTACGTAACCAGCAATCAGCGTACTCATTGATTGAAATCTGTTCTTTTACAGATAGAATGAAAAACCAGGGTCTACAGCATTGATCTATTGATCTATTGGACATCGATTCTTGACTTGTCCGGCTCGGGTGCGGCGGCTCCCGCCGCTCCGCTGAGCACATGCTGAGCCTTGCCCCCCGAGGTCGTGGAGCTGTTCCTGGAATGGTGCTCTCATCCAACATCCCACAGGTTCGCGGCGCGTGCTCGCTCGGCGCCTGGGGAGACATGGTGTTTGGGAGCGCTCGTGGTGGGGAGTCGCGCCTGGTTTGGGAGCACCCCGTTGTTCGGCGTTGGTCGTTGGACCATGGGTCCGAAGCTGGGTGCCTTTTGGGGGAGTCAAAATGGGATCAATCCTTTCTAGCGATTTCAGTGGTGAATCTATATATAATTCTGAATTCTTTGCGACCGCACAGTCCATTTTTCTCCAGGGCGTGACACATTTCACCGTTCTTTTTCTTTCATTGGATGTTTGGAAAGAACATTTAGAGTCCAGATAAGGTGATGCTTGTTCTGATGCTTGTTGATGCTTGTTCTAATGGATGTTTGTTGATGCTGACTTCATTAACAAACTTGTGGACAGCTCAAGGGTAGACCCGCCAAGGCGCGCGGCGCACCACTGGATTTTGAGCGTTGAACACCTGCTCAAATGCCCTGTCTCTTTTCCCCAGTCTTCGTCGTGTTACATATCGGGTGACTGGTGGGCACTCCCAAGTGCAGCGGATCCGCAAGATCCGCAAGATCCGACGTCCCGTCCGACGTTTCACGAAGAGAACGCAGCTGTGTGTCCTACGTCTTTTCAGTGCCAGGCCTTGGGATTGCAGGGTGCTTTGGACATTTACCTCACGGACAGCACCTATTCGACCTATGCCTGTGTGAAAGCTGGGTATCTCCATGGAGTCCAGGCGGGGGTAGAAACCGCGCCTCGGTTTCTGTCCGTTTCGGGGACGCAGGAGGCAGGAGTTGGAGGAACCAAGACAGGTTAAGTGAGCGTAAATAGGACCCTACAGGGGTACTTATGGGATAGTCTATAAGGTCCTTCAACCTCTGTTGGAAGATCTCAGGTGGTCCCATGTGATCTCCAAATGAAGCCCGATTCATTGAGCAGGACTCCGAGTCACAAACCGCTGCATGAACCTTTCGCTCGAATTCGTCACATCAGACCTGAATCACTGAACCCTGACCGCGCGCGAGGGGGAGAGGCGATCGGCGCGGAAAGGAAGTCCTGACTCTGAAAATCCGTCCCTCTTCACCGCACCAAAAAAACGCCTCGGCTCTGAAGACATGTCTTCACCCGTCCGCCGTGACCGCCCGGTTCCGTGAACCGGCCAGTCCAGCATCTCGGGCGTGAAGCAGGAAGCACTGAAGCAGGCGGGGCTTCGCTCACCCCCGGCGTTTTCGTCCGGAAGGCGCAGAGACGAAGAGATTTGTTAAATCATCCCCACCCCCTTAACCATTGTTTTGAGGGGGCCTGAAAAATGTAACTTCCAATTCCCCCCCCCCCTGCTAAGGGGTAGGGATGTTAAATCCATTTCTTCTGGCCCAATTGTGGGCCTATATTTTGCTTGTTGAAGAACAGACGTCGATTGCTTCGGCCTCCCTTGGCAGTATGATGCAGTATGATTGAACCCTCAAGGTGATGCCCAGTGTGATGCCCATCAACGTGATCGAGATGTTTTGTGACAACTGTTCTATGGTTTGACATGCTTGACATGTACTTGTAGCTGTATGATTCGTTTGATGCTGTATGAGCACTTTCCGGAGATTCTGGACCATGTTGGACCTTCAGTTCGATCAGACATGGTCAGACCTTCCGATTTTAGAACGGATCCTTTTGGAGTTGGGACATGCTCTTTGACTGTGAATGGACCTCTTTTCCATCGCTATTAAGTTGGAATTGGAGGATTTGGAGGCCATCGCTATTAGGTTGGGGGGTGGCCTTTAAACAAGAAGTACTTCTTTCGAGACATCATCTCTCTCGACCTAAACCCCCCGGAATCGCGGTGTCGTGGTCCGCCGCAAAACCTCGCGGTTGGGTCCAGGCACGGCGCCTGGGACAGTCTCCGCTGGGCATGCGAATTGTAGGTGGGAGAAACGTCGGAAGAGCCTTGACTTGAGTGAGGTCCGTGGTGGTGAGCTCATGTGGGCTCAATACCTTCGGAAAAGAGCCTTTTTGGGGGGACTCAGACACTCATAGGACAATCTAGGACATGTAACAAGACCACGACTTTCCCATTAGCCATCTCCATTTCTCAATGAACTGTCAATGACCATCGACTTTCCCTGCCAACTTTTTGACATGGGTGACATGGGCTCTTCAGCAGGTTTGTCGTTTACTAGGAGACCCCCAAGCAATAATGCCTGTGAAGTACCTCCCACAAAGAGAGCGCACCTGGTCGCCTGGTAACGCCTCATTTGAGAGTAGACACATAATGCAAACACATGGTTGACTCATCGTTCTCCTCCAACCTTTCAATCTTCCGCCTGCATCATGCTGTTCTCCTCCAACCTCCAATTGTTCCAAAAAGTCTATCCTCCAACAGTTTCCTCACATCTTTAGAACCCAAATTCGAACCTGCAGGGAAACCTCATGAAACCTCCATTCTCCAGAAAGTGTGGTTTGCATGCACGAGTTTCTCATTTTACTATTCAACCCATCCATCCAAGCCATCATGTTCTTTCCTCCCATCCAACATCATCCAAGTCAGATGCGATGTCGCCAGCTGGCAGGCATCAAGCCTGAGTTGGACGTGGAGCGCTTCGGCCTTGAAGCCTGGGCCATTGACCTGGGTGCCCGAACGGAAGGCGTCTTCCGGTGCCTTGGGCGGCGGTTTCGGGGAGTGGACGTCTTCCGGAGTGGGAGTGGTGGGTCCATTCGTTTGGAGGAGTCATCTCTTTGAAGTCAAGTGAGGAATGTGGATAGATGATTGGAGGGACAGGCTTTGGAACGTATTTCTTCCAACTCAAGGTGATGCTTTTTTTTTTTGAGGACTCACACATGACCAATAGCGACATGAGGGGAATTTCTTTGTTTTCCCAGAGAGTCCTCGACTATAAAAAGAATAGTCTTTGCAAAGGACTATACTTTTGATATCGTGTCACTCTTGTCACCATGGCAGCCGCAGAAGAGGTGGCCCAATCATGAGGAATGATCCAAAGAGTCCGTTGAAAGACTTGATCATTGGTTTTAGACATTTTTCGATCATTCGCATGAAGTCACCTTGAAGTGCAAAGAGCTATCTCTATAGATCTATAGATCTACATGTTTATCAAATATCCACCACAGCGCTAGTGCGCAGGCTAGATAAACCAGCTAGCTTCGTGAAAGCAATGGTGATGCATGAAGCGAGCATTGCTTCGTGGTTGGCTTCTCAGTCAGTCAATGTTGGCCATTGGTGAAAAATGGCAAAAATAATTTCAGGTCTCTGAGTCACCTGCACCAGGCCATGAATGGGGCGACTATGAAGACTTGGGACCTGCCAGTCCTTCGTCAAGCATCGACTCAGGTGGGGTTTCGGATATCATACTAGGACTATATTATTCCACTGTGCATGCACCGATCGAGTTCTTCATCTTCATGAAAACCTTGTTTTTTACTTTTTTTACATTCGAGGACTCTCTGGGCGCTTGTTTGAGCATACTTTCCTGACCCTGAGCTGCCCCATCTGCAGCAGCATTTTTGTCCGGTTCCCGCGCGGGCTGGGACCACGATGGCCTCAGAACGCGTGAAGCTTTTGAAGGCTGGACAATGCATGCATGGATCGATGGTTGACTATATTGGGTTCTAGATTCTATATCGATACGATAGTCGATACGATATGTGCATGTATGTGACATCGCCCTTCGTTTAATCTAATTAACCTTGGGCCTGGATCTGTACGACCTTTCGATCCATTCCCGGCTGATCAGGCCTTCTACGAGGACTATGTCACACCCGACTTTGTCAAGAAGCGCAAGCGCGAGATCAAATCCAGGAGGATGACCAACCGGAACCCTGCCCTCCTGACATGTTGATTAACTTCAGACAGGGGGCAGGTCAATTGTTGCGCATTCACGATCACTAGCTCGATCAACAGCAGCAGTAGATCGACCATGGATCCATCCTGTGCAACAGGTCTTCAGCATTGTCGAGGTGGAGGCCAAACACATATCTGAAGTCGAGGCGAGATCGGGTTCCCAGGTCCAACTTCGGAGCGCTTACCAAAAAATGATGACAACGATCATGTGGTTCGTGTGAATTACAATGAATTCATTAATATGGAGGCGGAGCGCAACACCAACTTTAACTTCACCGCAGCTTATCTGGCACACTTTGTTGGTGACCTTCCACTGCAAAAGGAAGTCGAGGCTGGCCTTGCTTCTACCAAAATTTGCTGAGTGCTGAGTGACATTCTTCCTAGCCTGCATAGATTGAAACTATATTCTGCGCTAGGAGGTTCTTTGTGAGATGTCCATCACCCAGCAGTGGAACCGGTTTGAACACAAGAGTCAACATCAGGCACAATTGAGTTACGAGTTCAGAGACTGTCTAAGTGTTTTTTTAATTCTTCTGACCCTGATCCGATTCCAGGCCTGGGCAAGCATTGAGGCTGGATTACATCGCGCCTTGGCCAGCTACATCACCAACCGGTTCAATCGAACGCAGAAATCGAGGTGGGATCCTGGCTTTAGACTTGTCAAAGAATAAAAACACATGCATGCAAAGGTGTGATAGGAACAACAATTGATTCTTCCGGAGGAAGTCGCACCCCCGCATGGAGACACTCAAATCTCTGGTTCGGGTCAAGCTGGAGGACACAGTTTGGTAGTGTGTGATCATCAAAATATAGATCGATGGTTCAGCTCGCATTTTCTGGAGACCTTGGTTTCAATGCGTGCATGGCCATTGCTTGCCCCAGGAGCTTGGCCTTCTTACAGAGAAAGGTCGCAAGGTTGCTACCCGAGGACGTTCCACGGCACCCAAGGCATCCAAGGCCAGGGATTGAAAAACAACAATCAACACGATTACTTAATCAATAAATATCATGTTAACATGTTAGTTGGAAGTGTGTAAAAATCATTGATGTCAGCCTCAAAAAAATGGAGTATATTATACTGCAACTGCCCAGGAGACTGGTTCGGCGCCGGGTGTGACTGCTTCACCAGCACCGGCGCCACCGGTGCCGGAGGAGCCTGATTCACAAATGCCGGTGTCCCCTTTTGAAGCACCGGCGGCACCTGTTGAAGTGGGTGGTGGAAAGCAGTCAACACACAGGGGTGAGGAGGGTGCAGAGGAAGAGGCCTTATCTGATGATGACTGTATCGAACCTGTAGAGATTCATGAGGATCCCACAATGGAGGTTCCCGAGGTTCCCGCTGAACATCCGGCCGCACCAGTGCAGTCCAGTGGCGGACCAGCTGTCGTTCTGGAGAGCGACCCGGAGCAAAACGAAAAGGGTGATGTTGTTGGCACCTTCAAGGACCGCCGCAATTGGCTGCATGCAACTTCACTATTAATAACGTTTCACTCTGAAATGTCGAGGGCACGCTTTCTTTACATGATCATTGGTGGTGCCTAGCGTGATGTGCCATGCATGTGTGCGGATGTGGACTTACGGTTTGGGGCCGTGTCAGGACACCAAGCCCTTAGCCAAGATTCCAGAAGCACCCAGCAGCTCACTCAGGGATCAGGCTGAGGCAGCATGCTTGAAGCTGGAGAGGGGGATGAGCAGCAACAACATTGATCTGTTGGAGGCTTGTATCATGCATGCACGCATGCATGACAGCTTGATGTATTTTTCAAACCATTTCAAATCAGATCGGATCCACAGTACTACATAATAGTATTAAATCTAAATTGCTTCATGCAGGCCCAAAAGGTTTTACGAAAGACTTTGAGGGACGCTGAAGCAAAATCCGATGAAGAGGAAGAGGACCCTGACCGAAAGCATAAACACGAACACGATGAGGATGAAGAGGCGCCTAAGAAAAGGGCAAGGGGTAGAGGCCAAGGAAGGGGCCGTGGTCGGGGACGTAAGAAGGCTGAGGGCGCGAAAGCCGCTGAGGTGCCTAAGGGTGAGGTGCCTAAGGAAGAGGCGCCTAAGGAAGAGGTGCCTAAGAAAGAGGTGCCTAAGAGTGAGATGCCTAAGGAAGAGGCGCCTAAGGAAGAGGCGCCTGAGGAAGAGGCGCCTGAGGAAGAGGTGCCGAAGGGTGAGGTGCGGAAGGGTGAGGTGCGCAAGGAAGAGAAGGAGGGTGAACCGGCAAAAAGTACAAGAAATTCAAGACTAAGAAAACGAAAGGCGGCCATTGAGCAGAGCCAGGCTGCCAAGCCCGAGCTGCCAAAGACCCGAGCTGCCAAAGAACTGCCCAAAACACCGAAGAGAAAGATCATATCCCCAGCTGTCCGATCGCCAAAGATCACAAAGAGTGCACAGAAGAAAAAATTCCTACAGGACAGTGTGTTGGGTTCGTTGAGTATTTTATTCTAAATGGGTGTGACCATGTACATCACTCCTTCAAGAACACCGTAAAACTCCTGCCTAATTATAACATTGAAAGTTGATGTACGCTCTGGCATGCCTTCTCACATGCGTGATGCGTCCCCACCCAAAACGATGCCACTGCACGCAGGAGAACCTGGCTGCCTTGGAGGCCGAGGCACCACAGATGAAGTACTTCGTCTGGCCCAGCAATGTGAGCGAGCGCAAGTCTGGAGCTTGGCTACGGCAGAAATATGCAACCACCTTGGATGGATGTGCTCATGGCTGAGGAGCTGGACATGCCGAGCACCAAACGATTGTCCCGGATAAATGAATTTTCCACGGCTTACGATCGGTGTTTTGTCATCTGCTTAGCACTCATTTGCCAATAGCTAGTACTGAGTACTATTCAAAATAATGTCAACCGCTGAGGCCTGACCGCTACGGGAGCTTCTATGTCTCCACCATTGATGGAGAAGCACACATCATTGATGTTGAGAACAAGTTGAAGCTGACGGCCGGCCGGTTCATTTTCTCATGCTCAGAAACGAGTTATGCTAGCTCTTTGGAAAAAACAATTGATGATAAATTTCATAGCATAATTGCTGCAGCAGGTGTCTAGCTCCGGGGGTGTCTCTATTGCGTGGAAGAAGAACGGTGGTCCGGCAAAAGCGTGCAAAACTTATCCCAGTTGAGATAGCTAGATGTGTGATCTGATGTTTCGAAATGCCTGTTCTGCAGTCTATTTAAATCACCTGTAGTGGCCCAAACTGCCCAGGTGGAACCTTGCTATCCAAGCTGCTGCGTGGTGCCCGATCACCGGCCCGTAGCCTTGATTTGAGCTTGCTGAATTTTCCACCGTGGCGGAATGCATGCAGGGAGCTAGTACTTGGATTTGAACATAAATTGATCGAATTAGTTTACATTTACACTTTTCGAGACTGGTCATGTGTATATGAGATTTTATCGTTCCATGCATTGCGTTGGTTGTATAATTCCATGTTGCGCGGTTTTGGCCACCTGCAAACGCCGCATAGCTTACCTTTAGCCAGACCTGCCCAAAATACATTCCTTGAGTCTTGCAAGGTCATGTCAGGTTCGCAGGTGCGCAACGAATCATGCACGCAACTTTGTACACACACACATGCATGCTAGTAGACCGAGATATTTTTTTATTGAGACTGGCCCAAGTATAGCACTTGTGCCCCTTTTTTGGTGCGAGTGACCTCAAGCCATGGCGTCAGTGAAGTTTGGTCTTCACGTTGCTCCGGAGCGTGATGACAACTGTTCACCGATTTCATTGACAAGTACTTCTGTGGTTGCTCTCATTACCATGGGATGCCCAATACTCGTGACA